ACAACAGGGTCCTTGAGTTAAGTGACAGAAAAGAATTTCAGCACATGCCAGTCAGGGGTACAGACAGAGATTTGAGAAAGTAGATCCACAGTCAAGGGAGAATGGAGGCAGTCTTAAGAGAGAGATGCCTATTTTTCCAAGAAATCTCCATACTGCTTTCCATATTGGCTGCACCAATTTGCAGTACCACCAGCAATGTATGAATGTACCTTTTTCCCCCACATCCTTGCTAACACTTATGCTTGTTTGTATGCATAATAGCTGCCATTCTGACTGGTGTGAGATGAAATCTTAGAGTGATTTTGATTTGCATTTCTCTAATTGCTAGTGATGATGAACATTTTTTCATGTGTTTGTTGATTGATTGTACATTATCTTCTGAGAACTGTTTCTTCAGGTCCTTGGCCCATTTATTGATTGAGTTATTGTTGTTGTTGTTGTTTTGGTGTCTAGCTTTTTGAGTTCTTTATGTACCCTAGTGATTAGTGCTCTATCTGATATATGAGGCGTAAAGATTTGTTCCCACAATGTAGGCTCTCTGTTCGCCTCACAGATTGTTTCTTTTGCTGAGAAGAAAATTTTAGTTTGAGTTCATCCCATTTATTGATTCATTTGACCCAGCTATCCCTTTCGTCAGTCTATACCCAAAGGACTTAAAAACAGCATACTACAGGGACACAGCCACATCAATGTTTATAGCAGCACATTCACAATAGCTAAACTGTGGAACCAACCAAGATGTCCTTAAACAGATGAATGGATAAAAAAAATGTGGCATATATTCGCAATGGAATATTACTCAGCAATAAAAGAGAATAAAATCATGGCATTTGCAGGTAAATGGATGGAGTTAGAGAAGATAATGCTAAGTAAAGTCAGCCAATCCCAAAAAACCAAATGCCGGGGCTGGGGATGTGGCTCAAGCGGTAGCGCGCTCGCCTGGCATGCGTGCGACCCAGGTTCGATCCTCAGCCCCATATACAAACAAAGATGTTGTGTCCGCTGAAAACTAAAAACAATAAATATTAAAAATTAAAAAAAAACAAAAAACAAATGCTGAATGTTTATATATATATATATACTGATTCACAGTGGGATAGTAGTAGGAGCATGGGAAGAATAGATGAACTCTAAATAGGGCAGAGGGGTTGGAGGGGAAGGAAGGGGGCAGGGGTAATTAATGATGGATGAATGTGATGATCATTATTATTCAAAGTACAGGTATGAAGACACGAATTGGTGTGAATATACTATGTATACAACCAGAGATATGAAAAATTGTGTTCTATATATGTAATAAGAATTGTAATGCATTCTGCTGTCATTCATATATATATGTATATATACATATATATGTATGTATACATTTATACATACATATGTATATATAGATAGAGAAAGAGAGAGAGGTGTCTTTTGGGGTAAAGCAAAGAATATACATACATTCAAGGGAGAATGAGGGCTATCTCAAGAGTAAGAGATGCCTTTTGGGGGTTCCCAGATCCTTTAAAGAAAACTTGGTAATGAGTGGGTATGGAAAAGTATTTAGGAATGATATCAGTCTGGTGATCTCAAGACCATGTATGGTGGTCAATTTCCTTAGGCTGATATGCGTGGTCTTTATTATCTGATGGTTAGATAATGCTGAAAAGTCCCCTAAATTATAGGTTTTTAAAAATGTCATTTCTTACTTAATCTATTTAATGGGGGCTAATTAGCAGTGCTCAGGTAAATCTATGATTTTCCCAGGAATTTGGGAGTAACAGACTTGGGAAAGAGACTGGTCTAGGGAATGACGAGCCTAGACAAGCAGAACTTCTGAATTAAAATCTCATTTCCTTGGCCTTCTTTTATGTCTCCTTCACATATTTCTTATTTTTTCTATCCTAACTCATAACAAATGACAGAAAATTATTTGTGAATGAGAAAACTGGGATTACTACTTGCAAGGTGACATTATGTGACAGAAAACTAAACAAAAGTTTGTCCTACTTGCTAAATTCAGTCATCCCTAAAAGTTGGACATTTGATCTCATTCTTTTTTTTTTTTTTGGTACTGATTACATGTCAGTCTTTTCTATTTTTTAATTCTGAGACAGGTTCTCATTGAGTTGCTTAGGGTTTGGGTAATTTGTTGAGGATGGCCTGGAACTTGCAATTCTCTTGCCTTAACCTCCGGAGTTGCTGGAATTAAAGGTGTGCACCACCATGCCCAACTTGATCTCATTCTTCCTTGTTTGTTTTAAGACTGAGATTGAAGGGTTGGGTATGTAGATCAGTGGTAGTGTGTGTGAGAACTTGGGTTCAATCCCCAGCATTGAACAACAACAACATTAACAACAACAAAACCAACAGACTGAGTAGTGAAATGACACTTCCATGGGTTCTCCACCTCAGGTTTTAAATGATCACAGGTGGTCATCACCGCAACAAAATAACACATTAGACTTTGGAAGTCCTTTAGAGGTCTCCTTATTCTGATTCAACAAAGACTAACATAATTAGTTACTGCTTACTCAAGGAAGAAGCTAAAGTTTACCAGGCATAGTTCAGTTCAATTCAATCTGTTCCATTTAATATTTATTGCATTTAAGCTTTGTGCCAGTCAGTGACCTGGGCACAAAGGATGTATGTAGTAGCTGCCCTTGTCCTCCTATTGGTTAGACTAATGTCTCTCCAGGGCCCCCTAGTGGTAGACGGTGTGGAATGTACTGCAAGAAGTATGTACTACAGGAGTTAACCAAATAAAATGTTAGAAATGGTCCTAGGTAAACCGGGTACACGCTTATAATTCCAGTGGCTAGGGAGGCTAAGGTAGGAGAATGGTAGGTTCAAAGTCAGCCTCAGCAACTTAGCAAGGCCCTAATCAACTTAAAATAAAAAATAAAAGGGTTGGGGATGTCGTTCAGTGGTAAAGCATCCCTAGGTTTAATCACTAGTACAAAAAAAAAAAAATCCTGGATAAGTATCAGCTTCAATCAAAAGGATAAGTGGGAATTGCCCAAATGAAGAAGGAAGATGGAGTAATTGCCAGGCCAAAGAAAATATACTACTAGGGAGAGAAGGAGAAGCATGCAGATGGAGCATTACACTTCTGCTGAAATACGAATCCAATGGTCACCTCTCTGCTCTACCACTTTCCCTTCTGTCTCCAGGTTTTTAGCCTGCAGGTTGACCTTTTTCCTCCTAATCGTCCATTGCTATGGTGGAGTTTATTTGTAAATTTAATGCAGGAACCAATAAAAAAAAAAAAACAGCTAAGGAGTAGCCAGTGGAGCATGGAACCAAGCCTACATTACACTTACAAAAATCTGACTTTCCACAGAAAAAATATTTTGACTTTTACATTTTTGGACTTCATTAGAAGGATCTGAAATGGATGACACCAAGCTGTTTGCCTAAAATAATGTCCCAAATCTGAATTGGCATGGATATTTCCTGAGATTAAAATAGAAACTTGTTTTGCTAACAGAAAACAACTTGGAAATCAAAGAGTCAGTTTAAGTTGGAACCATTTATTTTTCCTTTTCTTGCAGAAAATTCCTGTTTTTACACACACGGAGAGATCAGGGTAGTAAGGTCATTCTGCCACAGAAGTTTCCATTAACAATTTGAAGTTGCAGAAACCTCAAAAAGAAAGGGGGAGGGCTTGTAATATAAGAAATTCATAAATTCATTCAACAAACATTCATGAACACCAACTATGTGCCAGGTACTGATCTAAGCACTAAACAAAGATACCTGCCCTTGTAGAGCTTTCATTCTTGCGGGAGAGGGTGGGGGGGGCGGGTAAACAAACAAGAAATAAGCAACTTATTCAGTAAATAGAAAACGAATAGTATTAGGAAAAGACAAAAATAGGGTAGGGGGCATCAGGAGAAAGCAAGTTTCAATTTTCGAGAGTGGTTACTGTTGGCCCCTCAGAGAGGGGGCATTTGTACAAAGACTGAAGGAAGTGAGGATGTGAGCCATGTATGCAGTTATCTGGTCTAGGCAGAGCAAACAGTCAATGGCCCAAGGAGAGGGCATGCCTCGAATGTGCTAGAAAGACAAGGAGGCCGTGTGCTTGGGGAAGAGACAGGAGAAGCCATTTGGGGTAGGGTTAGAAAAGATGAGTGATTTGATCAGACTTATGTTTTAACGTGCCTTTTAGGATAATCATGTGTTTTCATTTGAACATAGTCCTTTAGTAAGATACTTTTTTTTACTCTGAAACCACAGAGTAATGATTACTTAAAATGGTTTCTAAAGGATCCCGCAAGATGAGACACCACAAGATTAAGCAGTAATGACCCTCTTTTTCTGGCAGGCATTTGCCCTTAGAGGGGCAGCAGTATAACGTGCTCCGAGTTGAGCTGGAGAAGATAGAAACAGTCTGCACGATTCTTCAAAACTCGACTGGAGAGCCAAACATTTCCTTCTGCTGGTTAAAAAATTATATACACACACACACACACACACACACACACATATACATACATATACATACATACATATATACACCTTTGCCAATTCTGCGGGAGAAGCAAACTCCTAGAGTTTGCCTTCGCTAATTTGCCCAGGTCCTGCTGTGGTTTCACTGAATGCAGACACTGCTCAGTTCCACCCCACAAACCTTTCTCATCTTGGGCTTCTCTGCCCTCGGGTGAAAGCTATGGTTCTCCACTGCGGTCACCACCTGTTTGGGCGAAACCCGCGGGGAGTGCACCTATGCCTCGGGCCCCTTTTCCTTGCCTGCTCACCCTTTCCTGATGAGCACCCTATTTTTCTCTCCCAGGCCAGGGTTGCAACTTTTCTACCAGCCTCGGGCTCGCCCCGATTGGCCCGCCGTGTAGAGACGCTGGCTTCCCATAGATTACGAGCCCCGGAGCCGCAGGAGCTGCTGGGCCCCTGGGAGGGGCAGAGAGCCCCCACCCGGGGCCGAAGCTGGGAGCGCTGGGAGTCAGGCGCACGCGCCCCTCCCGCCCCTAGCGCCCCTCCCTGCGAGCGAGCGGTGCAGCTCCCCCTGCAGCGCCTCCCCTCGCGGGGAGGGAGCCGGAGGGGGCTCCCGGAGCCGCGCCGCAGACCTGCTCTGGCTTCGCGTCGCGCCTCTCTGCTTCCAGAGTGGCTGCAGGAGCCGAGGCGGAGGCGGTACGGGGTTCCCGCGACTTGCAGTTTCTCTGGGGAGCTGAGGAGGAGAGTGCGCCTTTCCCCCGCTCCCAGCAACCTCAACCTGTTCCCGGCGCTCGGCGACTCTCACTCCCGGGACTCGCCGCCCAACATGAATTTCCCCCTGGCGCTGGCGCTCCTGTCCTCGCTCTACCTGCAGACGGCTGCCGAGTTCGACGGGAGGTGAGTTGGGCCCCGGGGCGCCCTCTCCTTCCCGCGCTAATTTCACACTCGCAGTTCTGGGGCTCCACTCCCCGTGGGGTTTACGCAGCGGGAGAAGCTACTCTCCGGCCCAGAAGTTGGGCCATCGCGCAGGTTCGCGGGAGTATAGTCATCGAGCCTCTCCGAGGGCCTGCCAGGGACTGGAGAGGTCGCGCCGGGTTCGAGTCCCGGCTCCTAGAGGGCGGTTCCGCGGCTGGGCGAGCGGCTCATCCCCGCTCAGGGCTCAGGAATTGGGACTGGGGGGAGAAGAGAGGCTGCAAACTAGGATCACAGCTTGAGGGCGCGGTTTCGCCTTAAAGTAGAGGTGACGCCGGGGACATCCCTTGACCCGGGAACTCGCTCAGGATTTACATGACGCTTCGGTGGGGAAAGTTTCAGGTGACCAGGAGGAAATCACAGCTCGGAGCTGTCAGGGCTATCCACACAAAGACTGCGGGGGGGAGAAGCGACTGGGTTACCAGGACCTGTTTGTCTTCCCACTTGGTCTTCTCCAGGGAGGGGTCTCAAAATAAAGACACAGTGAGACGCTACTAATGAGTGTGCGTGTGTGCCTATGCCTGGGTATGCGCGCGCGCGCGTGTGTATTCGTGTGTGTGTGTGTGTGTGTGTGTGTGTGTGTGTGTGTGTAGGGGGGGAGGCGGCGAGAGCTCACACCGCACTGCTCCTCAGACCTCCGGCGAGCCAGACTGCTGCGTGCTCTGACAGGTTCCAACAACCCAGGGATCAGTCTCCGCTGTCACTCAGCGGGTCCTTCGGTTGCAGTGCGCAGCGCCCTGCTGTTTCCCAGGCCGCTGGATCCTCTCTGGTGTGCGTGAAAGGGAGTGACAAGAGTGTGAGTGTCGGTTAGGAGGGCGTGCTCGGTCCCCTCACCTCCTCGAGATTACAGACCAGATCACCTTGCGCACTGAAGGCTGCTGGTGGAGAGGTTTTGCCCTGGGCCACTTTGCCATCCAGTCGCCCTCCTAAAGCGCCCCCCTATCCCCACCCACCTCTGTGTGTCTCTGGCAGCCCTGAAGATGCCGCACCTGTTTTACCTGCAATCTCGGAACGAATCAATCGCACGATTGATTGGCTTTCTTGTACCTGTAGGGGAACAGAGGGGAACCAGTGGAGCGCTGAGAAAAGCTTGTTTATCACCTGGTCGGAGGAAATAGAAAGTCGGGGGTTATTTTGTACTTTGGGCCTGGGGGTAGAAAAGGCAGGTAAAGCAAAGGAAATTGAAAAGCTAAGGAGAGTTTAAGGAAAAGTGAGTAGCAACCAGAGGTTAAGCCTTTTTATTTTATTTTTTAAAGTATATATTTTTTTGGCCTACATTTGTGTATGGTGTGCATTCCTTGCACACACATTTACAACAAAAAATACGCCATGTGTTAGGCACACAAAATATTAATATAGCTTTTAAAAGATGTCTTAAAAAGCCAATTAAAACGTTAATCTTCCTAGAGGAAAATGTCACTTAAGGGAACAATTTAGCAAATAACATATCCAAGTGTGATCTAGTGAATAAATCTGTATCCTGAAATTGCATACTTTCTTTAGGTATTATTTACCTTGGAGAGGAAGATAATATGAGTTGTTGATACAGGCAAGTTTCAAGCCATAGGGTACTTGAGATGTCAATTACACCTTAAACTCTCCTTGGTTTTGTTTAGACTTTTTTTCTAGTACAATTTTTTCTTTTTCTTTTTCCAGTTATATCTCCAAAAGAGCCCTGTTGCATTTGATTTTTGAGGACTCTCCTCTTTCTGCCCTTCCCACATCTGCCATTCATATAGTAAAAATTCTTTCTTTGACAAGTCTTGCATTATTTAATACTTTTTTTAGTTTACAATGAATCAGTCAAAACTGGCTCCCTGCCCCCATAACAGGTGTGAGTCTTTGAGGAATCTGTTTTATTTCAAGCTTCGAAAACCACCCTGTGAATGGCAGCCTAGAGGATTCTTGGTTTTAGCTACTGCTCTTTCTAGTTAAGAAAGGATCTTCTCCCCCTTTATTCCCTGTCCCTGTGTACTTGGTGAGGGTGTGTGTTTAAAATTGGACCATAGCAGAACTATTTCTGTGAAGGTGTTTTAACCTTTAATTTCTGCAGGCATAAATTTTAGAAAATTGTGGATGTGATCTAAAACAATAACAAAGAGGGAATTAGTTTTAACTTTAAAAGTGTCTTTGTTTATTTATATTTTTTGTTTGTTTGGTAGGTGGCCCAGGCAAATAGTGTCATCTATTGGCCTATGTCGTTATGGTGGGAGGATTGACTGCTGCTGGGGCTGGGCTCGCCAGTCCTGGGGACAGTGCCAACGTGAGTATCAGGCTGGGAGGTGGGCTTTATACCATCATTCAGTGCTTCGCTCCACACATCGGAGAGCTCATAATTTCTGCGCAAGTCTTGGCTATGCAGTTCTGACATGGGCTTTCAAATACAGTATCCAACTGGTTATTCTGTACCTTTTCAACCTGAACCACCTGTGTTAAGAAGCTTTGTTTTCCATGGGGAGCCATCTAAGATTTTCATTTTAGCATTTGTCCCCAATATCTCCACCTCCTATGTTTTCATCAAGCTTATACCATTCTTTGCTCCAGGCTTTGAGATAGGTTAAGATAATGAGTCTAGACTGTATTTACACTAAATAAACTCATAATCGTAGAGTACTTATAAAATCCTCACCATAACTGTTGTATAAAGTAGCCCATTCATAAATCTTTTTTGAAGAGAAGTTGTATTGACAATGCTTTAAGCAGACCACCCAATATGATCAGGAAAAAAAAATCTGAAAAAGCATTATTTGTAAGTTCTGCAAATCTTCAACCTCATGTAAAAAAATATTAAATCAGAACACTGATTTCTGTTTTTCCCCCTCAAAAAATAAAAGTGGATATATGAATGGTAAAAACCAGAGCCATATCACAAAAAAATTAGAAATTTAGAAATTTGTTTCCAAATTTTACCTAGATATGGATCTCAGAATTTTATCCCAGTCTTCCTGCAGAACAATCAAACAAAACTCCAAAAGATGAAATAAACTTCTGAAGCATCTTTAGTGTACTAGGTTTGTACATCTGGTGAAATGATGGGAACCAAGTTGAGCTTCACATTAGGACATAGACACTAATAAAGCAGCAGCTTAGATGAATAGAGTAAGACTGTGGAGACAGGTAGTGGAGGAACCTGTCTTAGAGATGGATTGGCAATGTGAAGATTCAGGTAAATTTAATTTCAGGAAAGGCAGAACTTCCTTCAGCTCTTTAAACTTTTTTTTTTAAGAGAGAGAGAGAGAGAGAGAGAGAGAGAGAGAGAGAGAGAGAGAGAGAGAGACAATCTTTTTTTTGTAGATGGACACAACACAATGCCTTTTTAAAAATTTTTATGTGGTTCTGAGAATCCAACCCGGATCCCACCCGAGCTAGGCGGGTGATTTACCGCTGAGCCACAATCCCAGCCCATCTTTAAACTTTTAAGAATGCTTGTGATGTTTATCCTTAACTTTGTGAAGGAGGGGAAATGAGAGTTAAAGGTTGATTCTAATTGCATACATAGCCTATTGTCTCTAATCAGGGATGAGGTGAAGGGAATAATTCTTGTCTACCTACTATGTGCAAGCCTCTATGTAGACCCTTTGCACAGTTGGTCCATTGCCTCCTGTTAAAGGGAAATAGTGGTAACTCCAATTTCCAGTAAATGAAAGAACTAGGCAAAGCTCAGGTGTCCCTACTGATTAGTCTGTTCAGTTTTGAAGGGAAAATGGTCAAAAAGAAGGATAATACCTGATGGAATTTAGGCTTCTGCCAATTATATCAGTGTGTCAGAAGTATTTACACAGCTGGAGGCCAACAGGTGTGGAATCTGAGGAGCCACCAGGCTGTAATAACCAAAGGGTAAAGAGAGGATCCTTCTGTTGGCCCAATACATAAACATAACCCTCCCAAACAAAAATGGTTAGTCTCTTTGCAGGAATTGAGATAGTTTCTTCCTTCTTTGCTGCTGTAATTTGCAGGAAACTCCCAAATCAAATGTTGAAATGCCTTGAGGTTCATGCAGTCTCCCAACCCCACCCAGGACAAGCCTGCTTTGGCAGAATGCCCCGGACTGCAGTGGAGTGCACCTTCCCAAAGGCAGCCAATTGGAGCACGCAGGCTCTCTGCCAGGTGTGCTAAAAGAATTCCAAGCAGAACACTTCTCAGATCTCTGAGAGGTTCCTTGATATGGAATTCCCCAGGAAGCATCTCTAGGAGCTGTTTTTTCTTTTTTTCTTTTTCTCTATAGAGTAATCAAATTGTATTCAATATGTGCTAACTTGGTAATTCTGAATCTGAATGAGTGCAGAGACCATTCAGAATTATAGAAGCATTATAAAACAACCATTCAAGAGCTTTTCTAGGGTTTTACTGTCTACATAGGAGCTTTCCTATCAGATACAGGACACTTTTATTGTTTTTATACCTTTATTTTGTTCTTTCAAGTATGATAAGTTGTCAAATATAGTATTTGATACTACTTGTCTTTTCCCTCTTGTTATTCCTTAAGATCCTGAGAAAACTGCAACATGGCATGAGTTAATTATTGAAATGGTAATGCTAGAAAAATGTATAAGATAATTTTGTGAAATCAATTTGTTTTCATTTGGTAAACGTTTGAAAGCCAGAGTGATGCAGAGGGACTTGCACACTGTTGCTAGGTTGCCTGGATTTCATTTCCAGTTCTACCTCTTCTTAGCTATGTAGCCTTGGACAAGTAATTCAACTTTTCTGTGCTTTATTTTCCTTATCTCTAAAATGAATCCAAAGTTGTATATAACCTCAAGGACCATCCCAAGGTTTGAAAGAGTTATAATTTGTACAGTACTTAAAACTGTCTTTGGCACTGAGTATAGACCACGTGTGTATTCAGTAAAGTTAAATGTAAAGGAACACTGCTACTGAAAACAATGTTGTGGAGGGACATCTGTGCAGTCAGAGTCTTCATTTGTTAGACATGATATATGTATTTTTTTTTGCATTTATGCTGTGCAAATTAAAAATCCTTGCAAAGTTCTCTGTTTCAATAAAATAAAATTCTTTAAATTACAAAGGTCCAAATTGTTCTTTACCATTTACATTGAGGATGGCAAGGTTGTACAAATAAATTCAGAGATGCGTTTTCCTGTGTATTTTGTTTCCAGAATCTTAGATGGTCTAAGTGTCAATTCAGAGTTCTGCCTATCTTTGTTTGGATATAAACAGGTAGAGGAATGTGGGGGCAAGAGGTCAGCTGAAAGGATAGGTCGGCACTAAAAAGAGGCTGGGATGAATGGAATATTTCTGATTGGTTTTCAAAGAAAACCATTATGAAATTATAAGCTTGTTACAACATTTATTCAAGGAAAATGTCTGCTATTCTGTAACAATTAAATTTTGTAATGGATTGTCTATTTTAAAAAATTCCAAACAGCTTTTAGGAAATTTAATTAAAAAATACTTTTAGCTTTTTGACCCCTAGATAATTTCAACATTCTTTTCCATGAGGAGCAATTTCTCTTCCTCATCAAAAGTGCCCTGGTTCTCTTTCCTTCTCATGACTCACTTTGGAAATTTTTTTCAAAACAGTGTAGCGGCAAGGCTTGGTGGTATACACCTGTAATCCTAGCAGTTTGGGAGGCTGAGACAGGAGGATCACAATTTCAAAACCAGCCTTAGCAACCCTGTCTCAAAAAAAAAAAATTTTTTTTTTAAGCACAGTAAAGCAAAAGGTACTATTCCCACCCATGCTCAGAACCTCTCAGTTATTTCTTACGTGTGTACACAAGTGGGTGGAGCAGAAGTACCCTTATTATATTATTTATTAGACCTTATGCCCTAGTGCAGTGATAGTTTTGTGAATGTTTATTCTATTTGGTTGCACATTTGTCAGACATTTGGCCCAATAGTCATGCAGGTCAGATGTACATATCTACACAAAACAGGACGCATTTCATTTTTACTTACTATCCTCCTTTCCGTGGACATCTTTGAAAAGACTAACACTGTAGGTTGCTCTAGTTGGTAAACCACTCCTTCTGGCTTACTATGGAAGCCACAAAGCCACATTCAGCTGGGGAATTTCCATTCCTTCCCTCTAAGGAAGGATGGATCAGAGGTGCTACCCAAATGGACACAGAATATGTTCTCCTGCTTCCTGCCTGTTCCACCCAATATTCTGTCCCAACATTGCTGCCCTGCTGGGAAAGCATGATCCATTCCAGAAATAGGAAGGTTGTATTTTCTTAATTCCTTTTTAGCTTATATTCTTGACTTATTTCTATTCTTTGATTCTTTGTTTTCTGTTCTTGACTCATACATAGATCTCTTGCATACCCAAAATTCAAAATTTGATTTTCTAATTGTCATGGGCTTTCCTTTTATTGAATGTTAATGTTGCTCTTTATAATATCAAGGTTTTAATTATTTCTATACATTTATTCTTACATGTTGACAACACACAGCACCTTAATCACTCAGAAATTGTCACAAAATACTTCTGTTTCTTGCTTTGTAGTTATTTGGTTCTTTGACTTTTCCATAATCTTAATGGCACATTTCATTTTAATTATATTAACTGTTTCTCTTTCCCTACTATGTGGATACTTCTGTAATAGAGATTTCTCAGGGATTGTATGTTTTATTTTAGAAAGCTGTGTATGCTGTGGAAACAATTCTTTACTAGATAATTTGGGACACCTAAATTCAAGCTTAGACTTTTGTCCCCAATTAGCTAGCTAACATTTTTTAGCTACAGTTTTCTTATTGTACAAGTATATTTCCAAGGTACATTATAGATCTAAACTCCATCTGAGAACTTCCTAATGGCAAAAAGAACATGTAGGATCTAGATGCTGTTTTCCTGTATGGTTGATTTTCTCTTTGCTTGGAGATTTGGCCATATGTGTGTGGCTTATGACAGTAGTATTTTGTTGTTGTTGTTGTTGAAAGCACTTTCTAGAGTTGCAAAGAAAACCACTAGTTCTAGGTTTCAACAAAGCTATTTAATTTCTGAGTTCTTTGGCTGTCAGTGAATATTTTGTGGTTTCTGAAGGAAATAGTATGAATAAAAATGGTTTTATCTCATTTATCCTTAAAGACCAGGAAAAATGCAGGTGTTTTGTTATATATTTCTGCTAGGGATTTTAAGAAGATATAAAACCAACACCTACAGTTCATTTTGCTTTTTTAGTTCTGAACCTCATTTCCTCCTGTTTCATCCCCAAATTTAATAAAGGCTACAACTGTACAAATGCCATATGAAGTGAAAATTTAGATTGTTATCAGCTTTAGCTAAACATAGATTCA